AAAATAAAAAATGTGCATCAATAAGAATGTTGTAAAAATAAAAGGAAGTATTTGCAAGAAGATGAAAGAGCTTTGAATTCAAACATAAAAACATACATAAAATAGATACATAATAGGAACATATGTTCACTTCTTGGTATTTCCATATAGTACTGCAAATATCAAGGAAGGGAAAGTTTGCAATGTTGTTAATATCAGGCAAAATAGAACTCAAGCAGAAAAAAAATTAAAGGAGCATATAATTATATCAGATTCATACATGAGATTCAAATTTACAGAAAAATACAGCAGGTGGTAAACAACATACCTAATAACAGCCTCAAAGTATATAAAATGAACAGAAAGATAAAAAGAAATTGATTTTAATGTTTTTTTTAGAAACTTACAGATAGAGGGAAAATTATTTTAATAACAATTGCCTAGGTTGATAGAAATAACAGGCTCAAACTAATTATTAGAATATTACAGATATTTCTATATGAACGGTCTAACAAATAAGTAGAGAATATATATTTATTTTCCAAACATAGAAGAAACATTTATGAAAACTGGCCATTCACTAGTCACACTAGAAATTTCATAAACTGATATTATATATGGCAAATGTACAGTGTAAAATAAAGGTTCACTTCCTACTCCTGCAGTACCTACAAAAAAAAGAAAAACAAATACCCCAAAAGCATTCACTTTCAGACTCATCAATATATTTCTAATTTATTCATTTTCTAAAGGTAAAACCACTGTGGAAATTTTAACATATTTAGAATTTTAAAAATAAATAAAAATCAAATCATGCAGGAAGAAATCATTGCAGTTTTGAAAAGGAAGCTTATAGGAGTGGTTTGTTAAAAACCACTATCAACTGATACCAGAGAAGCAGCTAGCTTTCAACTCAGGATGCTACGAACAATCCTAATAAAACAAACATAATGAAATAAACCCATACAAAGAACAAGAAAGGACATATTAAGAGTCAAATCACAAATCAATAAGAGAACAAAAATTAAATTTATTAAAAAAAGTGGTTTTGTGAAAAGATAAATTTTTTCAAATAGTATCAGGAAAAATGAAAATAGCTGTCACCAAAAACAGTGCCAGGAATAAAAAAGTAATATAACTTCCAATTATAATCATAGTCATAGGTGCCTTTTAGGCTTAGCAATGTGCCAAGTGCTGTTCTCAATTCTTTGCATGTAATTATCTTACTTAAACCTTATAATGTTTTTTAATGAAATAGGTACTCTCATTATTCTCTCCATTTTACAGATGACTCTGGTACAACACGTTTAATTGACAAGTGAACGTCACACACCCTGTGAGAGATGAAGCTGGGGTATGGGTTTAGGTAATCTGCTTCTAGAGCCCATGTGGTTAGCCATTGTTATCTTTATACTACCTCAGAGAAACACAGAATATTTCAATTGATGTGCATGAGATTTAAAGATTATTAGAAAATATGCTAAATTTTATCACAACAATAAAAAATCTAAAAATATAGGCACATTGTAAAATAATGATTAAAATTAGTTAGAAAAGACTTTTAGAAGACCAATTGCCATAGAAGACTTAGTCCTTTCTCCCAGAAATCCTTCCAACCCAAGAGCTAAACTGTTTTCACATGGTAAGTTCAAAGTTTATTCATGATTAAGAAACGTATATGGCATAATGAATCCCACTATTATGTAAAATTATACACCAATTTAAAAAAGCAACATAGCAACTCAAAACACATTTCTTATGTTGATATTGTGTAAATACTAAAAACCCGTGGGGAAAAAGCCTTTTTGCAATATATTCATTTCTACTAGAGTAGAAATGTGAAGGAATGCTGCTGTCACTGATATAATTTAACATTGAAAATGATGGTTCTTGATAAGGTGGGACTCAATATTTTAATGCTATCAATTCTCCTAGAATAACATAAATTCCATGCACTCCCCATAAAAATTCAATGATATTTTACTGACTCTTGACAAGAAAATCCTAACATTCACACAAAATAGTAACGCACATGGAAAAAAATGATCACTTGGAACAAAAAAGGGCACTGTCTGCAAGACAAAAATGTATTTCAACTAGATTAAGGAAATAGTTATAATGAAAATAAATGCAAATAGGTGAACAGAATATGTATGTTCACGTATGTGTACGGAATAAATATATACACATGAGAATTTGTCATTAAATATAAGTGGTGTTTCAGGTCGGGGAAGGATTTGGAGACAATCGTTTATTTGCAAATTTTGCTGGCTTTATTTCTTAAATTAATATTTTCATGATACACATAACATATATAGCATATGTTATATTGCCTTTCTACATTTAATAGTACACTTAAATATCAGTTTCCTGATTACTTCTTATCCCTGACATATGTGACAGGTTTTTATTAACATCATCACTAAGATCTTTTAGGTGCTTATTTCCATCACTTGCTACAGCAACTTCATAGACATTTAATTTGGACTTCTGATTTAGATGCTATTTTACAGATTGTATAGCCTTCTTTACCTTAACTTCTATACCCCCACCCCCACTTCAGTTTAACCATTTAGGGAGTGGGGACAAGAAAAACTGCAGAAGCAGAGTCTGTCAGAAGACGTGTCAGTCTATGTGGCTCCCCGTTTTGATGGATAATTTATCTGAATATGCAATTCTAGAGTAAAAATGATCATCCTTCCGATTTTGAGGACATCGTCCTTTTTCTTCCAGTGCTACACCTAGTGCGAGTGTGTACAACTGTGATGATGGTGTGATATTTATTTCTTGATGCAACTTCTTCCCCCACCCCTAGAACTTCTAGCATCTTTTCTTTATATAATGTTCTGAAATTTCACAGGGAAGTACCTACGTTGGGTAATTTTAACTTAGGGTATTTTGTTTTTTCTTTTATGGTTACTATTGGAGCCCATTTCATTCTAAATATATTTGAGTGTTTTTCCACTTGAATCAAAAATAATTGAAGTTGATGTGTGTGTCCTTTCTTTTTCTCTGATTAGTCTGACTAAAGATGGATCAATTTTTTTGATCTTTCCAAAGAACCAGCTATAAATCTCATTGATTTTCTCTATCATTTGGTCATTTCTCCTGAAGGTGCATACTTCCAATGACCTAAATTAGGTCATTTGATCATTTCTCTATCATTGAGGTTATTGGAGGTATGCATCCTCAGGAATATACCTTCAGTAAGCTAAATTCTTTCCAGTAGGCCCCTTCTCTTAAAGATTCTACCACCTCCCAATAGCACCACAGGCTGGTGAGCAAGCCTTCATTTTACTATTCCTTTCTCTCTTTTAACTTTAAATTTAATTTGCTTTCTTTTTCTAACTTTGTAAAAGAGAGGTTAGAGTATTGATTTGAATATAAGCATTTTATACTCTAATTTTATATATACTTGTATACCCTTCATTTTATATTCTACTTTTCAATATAAGCATTTTAATGCTATAAGATGCCCTTGATGTGCTGCGTTAGCTGCACCTCACAAAATTTGGCGTGCCATGTTTTCTTTTTCATTCTGTTCAAATATTTTCTAATTTGGTGATTTTTTTAGGATGTAAAAATTATGGACATATTTTTTACAAAATTATGTACATATAATTTTTTCCTTTAAGTATATGGACATTTATTTTTTTGGCTCAGAATATCTTTGCTTTGACAAATGTGTCATGCACACTTGAAAAGAACATCTGTTTTGTTGTTTGGTGTAATAGTCTGTAAATGTCAATTGTTTAAGGTGATTGATGGTATCATTCAAATTTTTCTATCAATTACAGAGATTATAGTGTTGAAATTTCCAACTAAGACTGTGGGTTTCTCTATTTCTCCTCTTTTTCCTATCAGTGTTTGTTTTATATTTTGAAGTTCTGACATTTGGAGCACAAATATTTAGGATATGTCCTCTTGATGAATCAACTTCTGTTATCATTACAAAATATCACTTTTTATGACCAGTGATATTCTTACTGCTTTCTGAAAGAAATATTTTGAAACTCTTGGCAACTTCTTCCCCCACTCCTAGAACTTCTAGCATCTTTTCTTTATATAATGATTCTGAAAATACCATCCTTGGAACTTTTGTGTGGCCATTTCAATTACAGAAAATAAATGGGCTTAGTCATCCATCTTGATCTTGAAAAGGGAAATCCCTAGGCCAAGCTAACTTTAAAGACAAAAATTCCTCTTGCTCAACAATGTATTTTTTTTAGTTGTTTTGGTTGTAGGATAAGAATTGTTTCAGACAAGCTTAAGTAAGGAGTTTCATGGAAATCTGAATCATGATTGTAGAACAACTGGGTCCTTGTAGAGGTGATCCTGGGGGAAGTTTCTGGATCCAGTGTAGTCCTGAATATTCAAGAGGGTTCTGAAAATCTGATCTTTAGTGTATGTCATCCATTTTCTTTATAGTTTATTCATTCCTTCCTCTCTGCGAACCATTTTTTTTCCTGTGTTAGCATGTTGTCACTGTGACAAATTACCTGAGAAGATCAACTTTAAGAAAGAAAGGTTTATTCTGACTCCTAGTTTCAGTCCATGGTCACTTGGCACTATTGCTTTTGAGTCTATGATGAGGCAGAACATGATGGCAGAGCACTACTCATCTCATGACCAGGAAATGAAAGAGAGGGAGAGAGGAAAAGACTAGAGTTCCAACAAACCCTTCAAGGGCTTTTCTTCAATGACCTAAATTTCTTCCACCAGGCCCACCTCTTGAAGGTTCTACCACCTCCCAAGAGCACCACAAGCTGGTGAACAAGCCTTCAACACGGGGCCTTTATGGGACATTTAAGATCCAAACCGTAAGAGCTTCTTTATAACAATAGATTGTCTATTTCAAGTTACTTAGCCATTCTATGCCTTGGTCTCTAGGACTAATAACAAGGGCGACTCTTCATAGGGTTGTTGAAGGATCACTTAAAACAGCCATCAGCACACTGTAATCATTTAATATATTTTGTTACTATCTTACTGGAAACAAAACTTAGCCAAGAGATGTAACAGTTATGACAAACTGTATAAATAACCATTTTATTGTTCATTAGGGGTACAGAGTTTTATTACAGTGCTCCATTTCTTTACTAACTTCATGTTATAACTTTCTTTTGGAATTTAGTATCAGAAAAAAAGCTTTTCTCTCTTGAATAACTGATGCATGACCTTTCAGTAGTGAGAATCCTGTGGCCCATCACATCTCTCCTTTGACCAGTCTGCCCAGAACTTCAGAGTAAAACTGAATCCCTCACAGGAACTATGGCATCTGCAGCTGGGGGCACGTTTACATACTTTAATTGCTTTTCATTTTCTAGTTATAATTTAGCATCTGTGGAATACAAAGTGTTAACTTTAATTTCTTCAGTCTATTGTAGAAAGAAAGTAGGGGGAACAGAAGTACTATGTTATGTAAATCAGAAGAGTCTTAAAGGTGAATAAAATATAATCCCTGCTTTCTAAGATTCCCAGTTTAGATCTGAGTCCATTCCTTCTGGCCACTCACAGAGAAAAGAGTTTTCTATTGCAATTCAGTATATGTACAAACACACACACATATACATGTGTATATGTACATATTATGTAAATACATGAAATGAAAATTTAAAGGCTACTACCCATAATATTACAGCTTCTATAGATAATAACTTATGAATCATCATAAGCATTTTATGGGTACAGTCCTGCTATCATTATCCCTATTTTTTTCTATAAGATCAGCCCTACTAACTTCAACCCTGTTTTTTTTTTTTCAGATGAGGAAGCTGAGGTACAGGAAGGTTAAGTAATTTACTCAAAGTCAGGCAGTTGCTTGTTAGTGAGGATAAAGCTAAGATTTTAATCCAGGGAGGCTGTTTTTTATTTATTAATTTATATATGACAGCAGAATGCATTACAATTCTTATCACATATATAGAGCAAATTTTTCATATCTCTGGTTGTATACACAGTATATTCACACCATTTCGTGTCTTCATACCTGTACTTTGGATAATGATGTCCATCACATTCCACCATCATTTCTAACCCCATGCTCCCTCCCTTCCCTCCCACCCTTCTGCCCTATCTAGAGTTCATCTATTCCTTCCATGTTCCCTCTCCCTTCCCCACTATGAATCAGCCTCAGGGAGGCTGTTTTTAAAACCTGTGCTCTCTTCCATTACACGTGGCAACCTCCCAATATTTTGCCATGCTCTGTGCAATGCTCTCTTTTCTATTCTATTTCATTGCACTCTCTTTTCATTTTTAAAATGCTGGCCACGATCTCCAAATGAATGGGTCACAACCACTACTTACTAATGGGTCATTATAGTTTGTCAAACATTAATCAAGGGGGAAATGAAACACATGATTGTCAATGGCTACTGAGCGAGTTCTAACAAGAGCTTGCAACTCTACCACGTGAGCAAGGAAGGACCGAAGGAGGCTCACAGAGCAAGAAACAGGAAGCGGAAGCTACAAGATAAATAAAAGCCTCCTCAGTGCACAGGCACCAAGGGGAGGGGAGCACCGAGGCGGAGCATGTGTACCAGGCCATGGAGGGTTAAGAGGCCATGAACACTCACTCACTCACTCACTGATCTCCCAACACCTGTGAGCTCAGCACCATGTGCACCAAGGATGCATGTATGAGCCACCACCCAACCTTCTTGAATCCTGTGGCCTACTAGAAGAGACCAAGACACTAGCCACGACAATGCAGTGTCACAGCCTCCAGTGCTGTGATGGAAGGAGGAGTGGGTACTTGTTATGGTTTGGATGCAGAAGATAATGCCAGAAGGTTTAGAGGTGAAGTGATTAGGTTATAAAGAGCCTTAACCCAATCAGTGAATTGATTCACTGATCAATCAGTGGATTAACTGAGTGGTAACTGAAGGCAAGTAGGGTGGGGCTGGAGCACGTGGGTCACTGAGGGTGTGCCTTTGAGGTATATATTTTTATCTGGCAAGTGGAGTCTCTCTCTGCTTACTGATCCTCATGTGAGCTGCCTCCTCCCACCACACTCTTCTGCCATGATGATCTGCCTCGTCTTGAAGGAATGGAGCCAGTTGTCTATGGACTGATACTTCTGAAACCGTGAACCCCCAAATAAACTTTTCCTCCCTTAATATTATTCTTGTCAGGTATTTTAGTCACAGCATCGAAAAAGCTGACTAAAAAACAGTTCTATAGGATAAAGCTACCTGATAGAGTCAAGTCACTTAAGAATAAAGAGGAGTCAGTTGCTCTGCTAGAGCAAGAGGAGAGAGCATTCTAGGCCAGGAGAATGGCAATTCGTGGAGCAGGAGAGAAGAGGGGGAACACAGCACGATGGAGACCTGACCTGAGTCACTGCAGAGGCAGACTGGCAACACAGCTCAAGGAAGGGCTCTAGAGCAGACTGCCTGCGTTCAATGAGCTCGTGTACTTGGCATCTGCATGGCCTTGCTCCAGTTACTTAATATCTCTGTTTTCAGCTGTAAAGGGAACTAAGAAAGACTTTGTCTAGGATTAAATTAATTAACACACGTGACACTTTAAAACAATATCTATCAGAAATATATTAAGTGCTCCAAAATATTAGCTATGATTGTTGTGTTTGCAAAGAACACAGTTCAAAGTGGGAATGAAAGGATTTTAACTAGAGATAAGCTGAAGTGTGGTTGGCCTTAGTTAAAAACAGATTTATTGGGTGCCTACTGTGTGCTGGATACTGTTGGAAGAACTGGGGACCCAGCCAGGAACACACATTCCTACAGTTGCTCAGATAGGTTCTGGAGTCACCTTTGATTTCTCCCTATACTTCTTACCCTTATTAATTCCACTGTAAGTTTTGATCTTCCCATCCCGTAACTTAGACCACTTATCATTCCCTCTCCATCTGCCTTGCTCAAGTCACCATCAACTCTCATTTGGATCAATACCCTGGCAGTTGCCCACAGACCGGGTCATCCTGGAGTGATAGTCAAAATGAAGCCATGCTACTTCTCTGTGTGAGAGGGTCCAGTGGTTTCCCAGTTCCTAAGAATAAAATTTAGGCTTCTCAGACATTATTTTGACCATGGCACTTCTAATCCCTCAGGAACAGAGTGGGGGAACAAATGGGAAAAAAAACCTTAAAAAAGCACAAAAGAAATTTGGAAAGATTCTTTTCATTCATCCCATAAAAGTGTTGGAAGATACTATGGTCATTAATTAATTAATATGCAAATGCATCAATAATTGATCTGTTAATTAATTTAATAACTGAGGGGATTAACATTGGTGAATTTACAATCAAAATCTTTAAATATAAAGAGAATGAAACAAAAAAACCTATATTATTAAAATTTCTAAAATGAATTATTGGAAAATGTCATTTCTCTGACGTATGAAACAGAATAAGGTGAATGAAACAATACTTTGTTGAATGTTTTGTTATAATTAATAAACACTAACAATTACTTTAGCAGGACACTTTGAAAAGGGTGCCTGCAGGGCCCAGTCATTTCTGTCCTTCCAAGTATGTCCCAGAGAGTTTGGCCTTATAGTAGTGGCCAGTTCTTTGGTCTTTCCTATGTCAGCTGTTATTTCAGTATTTCAGCTTTCCTCCTCACAGATTTAATTTACCTAAAGTACAAAAAATAGGAGTTATCTAAGAGGGATAAAAAAAAATAGCCAAGTTAAGTAAATTTAAAAAAATCACCCTAATTCTATGTAACTTTCTAAGTCAACTGACTTGGTCTAGGGAGGGCTTCACAGTCTCCTGATAATAAACATGCAGGCCATTTTTCTAGAGCTTTTCTCACTATGTTAAGTGGGCACACATGGAAAGATTTTTATGTAGATATATAAAAATTTAGATTAACAAGTAAAGCCAGAGTTTATCGATATACATACATGCATGCATACAAACACACATGTAATATTTGCATATATTTATAAATACATTACATATGTACTTATGTGTGCAAGTGTGCGTGTGTGTGCATGCAAGTTTGCATCTTGATAATTTGTCTTCCCAGATAAAAGAAAGGTTGGAGTGTTTAAAATGGTCCCAATACAAATAAATTTTTAAAGTTCTAAATAATCTAAAAACTAACAAAGAAAAGCATCTCTTACAAATTTTTATTCTCTTTGTTATTTCCCACAGATAGGCATTTGAAAATTTTTATTTCCAAAGAGAACACAGATGCTGCAGTCTTCTGTTCTAGAAGTGGGCATCCCCTAATTGTGCCAAACAGATCTTGTTCTGGTAATGTCTGTGGAGATTCTGGGAAAGCAAAAGAGCACTTATGGGCTCATAGCCTGGTATTGATTTAACAACTGAGATGGTGACAGGGGTTATTGTCACCTCTCTAATTTCCAACAAAGAAAAGAGCAAAGGGTGTGGGTATAGACCAAGGGATGATTTTTATACAGTTGCAGTAATATTGACATTTTAAGAATTATTTTTCAACCATGATGGGGAACTGAAAAAGATCTGAATAGTTTGGGGCCTTTGCTGTTTTAATAGGCCTGTAAGACTATGTAGAAGACAAAGCTTGATATGATAAGACCATTTGCCTGGCAACTAGCTTCTTCAGAAAGTTGAACTTTGCAAACCTCCTTAGAGAATGTATTGCTTAACAAAACAGCAAAATGTTTTGAAAAGAAAACAAAGTGATTTCACAAGAGTCTTCAAAAGTAGGCAAACATGCATGAAGGAGTAGAAAAGCACACCTAAAGGAGTTTAGATTCCTTCAATGTTGTTATAAAATATTACATTCTGAATAAACATCTTCAGCTTGTCACATCTTGTGCCTGGTCCTTGTGCTAGATCTAGATTTGCATGGAAAAAGCTATATGGGTAGTTTGCAAAAGCACCTTTGGAAGATAATTCTGAAATTTAAAATTTCAGTAAATAAAAGATGCTAATTTTTTGTACCTATCTAAGTCAACTGACATGGTCTAGGGAGGGCTTCACAGCCTCCAGATAGTAAACATGCAGGCCATTTTTCTAGAGATTTTCTCACTATGTGGGCACCCATATGGACGAAAGCCTAACTTCTAATTTAAAGTTAATCTCCTATAAGTCAGTGAGAAGTATACGATTCAAATGAGAAAAAAAGGTTTTACGAGACATGAAATTAAAGGGTTGTTTCTTTACAGCCCACATTCAGTGAATATGGCAACTGATGGTCCTAATTGCCACTGGGCTGACTTCTGAAGTGACGTTCAGCAGATATCAACTGGGGATGTTAAAAGTAAGGCATTTTGGAAGAAAGCAATATCTTAGAGACATGTACAAATTGGAATCCAATCTCTTCTGCCACATAACAGAACTGGATAGCTGAAGCAGAAAATAATAATAAGCAGATTGATATTCCCTGTCCCTAGATGATTTTGTTTATTGTATCCTCATATACATAGCTAATGTGGTTAAAACTGCCCCCAGGAATTTGTATTTGAGTCTATAAATGGCACTTTTATTACTTAGCTACTCAGAGCAATTTTGATATGATAATAAGTGATATTTTAGGTTCTTTTAAAAAGCAATCATACTATCTGATAATATCATAGAGAACTAAAAGCCTGAAGTATACTAATGCTTCTGATGTGATTGTTTTCAGTAGTTAAAGATCAGTTAGACAATATCAATGAACCATTTGAAGACTTAGCTAGTAAAGCCAGTCATGAGTGTCAAATGTAGAATGCAAATATAATGTATTTGTTCTTTAAGAAATAAACTTACAAGGCACAGTAGTAATCTAGTTACCTAAGAAGTAACAAAGCACATTGAAATTCCTTCGGCAAACGTGGATGACACAAACACCCAAACCTTTTGCCTTGTCACTATGCCCATTGGTTGGATTTCACTACCTGGGTGTGATCAGTAACAACTATGTTAGCTTGCCCTGTTCCACTACTCATTTAAATTTCATTATGAGGTCAGAGAAGGGCTCCTTGAGGAAGTGCCATTCAAAGTGATACTGACAAAGAGTGTCAGCAATAAGTCCACAATGGGAGAACAGAACGGCAGGGAGAACAGGAGATTAGGCTAGAGAGGGCACAAAGTCCAGGCCAACTTCAGGGTGGGGGTGTTTAAACCAAGAAGTGTCTGGATCAAGTTTTTCAAAAGATCCTCTGGCAGCTAGATTTTGGTGGAGTCAGCATGGTTGGGGAAGAGCAGGTAGGAGTCTGTCCTAGTGATCCTGGCAAGACATGATGGTAGCTATACAATGGGGACAAGTAGGTCAATGCGGGATATGTTTTTGGTATCTGCTGGGGCATCATGGGGGATTCCGTGGGGGCAAGGTAAAGGCCATATAAAACTCCAGACAGCCTTGGTGCGGGTTGCTGAATTAGGGAAAGACTGTGGAAAGGTTACTAACGGTGGGAGAGGAGGGAAGGGAAGCAAGAGTCTGGTTTAAAATTGTATTAAATTTGGAATATCTATTTTATATCCAAGTAGACATATCAAGGAAGCAGTTAAATATAAATATCTGGAGTGTGATGGAGAATTCAGTGCGGAACTTTTAAAATGTGGTTGTTGCCAAATTATGACTAATATTTGAAGCTCTAAGACTGGATCCAGTTTGTAAGTATAACTGAAAGAGAGGGCCTAGGACCCAGCCCTAGGGTTCCTCACCACTGAGAGTTTGAAAGCAGAAATCTAGCCAGCAAAGGAGATGGAAGCAGTCCATTTGGAGGAACAGCATAGGACAGGGTTCCTGGAAACCACCAGTACAGGATATTTCAGGGCTAGAGTGTTACACCCTGTCAAATGCTGAGAAGACTTCAAGCGCAGTGAGGACAGAAACATAATGATTAGATGTGGCAACAATGAAGGTCACTGAGGACCCCACACGGAGAGATTGCAGTGAGTGCTGGCATCAGAAAGGAACTCAGAGTTGACAAGGCAAGAATGGAGGGCAAAAATATTAAAACAATGTTTCTGCTTGCTCTGAAGGGTAGAAAGCAATGGTATACAGGCTGGAGGTGAGAAGCCAAGGGAAGTGATAGAGAAGATATGAATGTCAGTGGGGTTGATCCAGTGGAAAAGGAGAAATTGACGATGCAGAAAAAAAATGGAGAAACTTTGGGCAAAGGGGAGGGAAAGGTAGAGAGGGTGCATGGAGAGGAAAGATGGTGGAATGAGATGGACATTATTACCCTAGGTACCTGTATGACCGCAGATATGGTGCGATGTTACATTGTGTACAACCAGAAAAAGGAAAAGTTGTGCTGCAATTGTCTACAATGTATCAAAATTCATTTTGCTGTCATATTTGCCTAATTAAAATTTATATTAAAAAAAACCTGTTTACCTGAAGGAGAAAGTCTTAGAACAAGTGAGGGCTTGGATCTAAAGAACAAGTGGAAATCTGGGTGAGGTGGTGCATGTCTGTAATCCCAGCAGTTTGGGAGGCCGAGGCAGGAGGATCACAAGTTCACAGCCAGCCTCAGCAACTTAGCTAGGCCCTAAGCTACTCAGCAAGACCCTGTCTCTAAATAAAACACAAAAAAAGGACTGGGGACGTGGTTAAGCACTCCTGGGTTCAATCCCTAGTGCCAAAACAAAAACAAAAAACCAACAATTCTTAGAAACAAACTGTTCACCCAGCACAAGGGGAGGAAAGTCACCATGAGTGAGTTTACCTATGTATAAGTTGGTATGTATGGGATAGGTGATGAGAGGCTATTTGGGGACTAGAGGAAGAGCATATGCATATTCTGGGACATCAAAGCTAGTGCACATCAATTGTATTAATGAGTATACATCGATTTATTTGTTACCATCTTAAAGACATACAGGCAATACAGAGAATGGGATTTCAGGGCATATCTCAGATTGATTCTGCCTGATTGAAAATGACATTTAGAATTTCTATGCCATTACATCCTTCTATACTGAAGATCTATGACTTACCAATTAGATCATTTTATCATGCTGCTCAGACAGAAAGCCAAACTCAAAATCTGCCTTGACAAGTGTCATACGAGCATGCCAGTTCTCTCTGATTCCTTTCAGCCTCTGGGTTGTACCTCACATGAAATCAGCATGCACACACTCCTTATTGTCTCCTGCTCACAGGTCTTACTGTCTCAAATAGACATTAGGGCTTCAGGATGAGGCCATGCAACTGACAATAAAATATCATTGTCTCTCCCACTGTGAAAAACCTAGTATTAGATAGAAAGTAAGTACTTAATAAATGCTTGTTGAACAATTTATCTTTTTAGAGTTGAATGGCTAATAAAAAGTTTTATGCAGCAATCCCTGGGCTAATAGAATATGCATAATTCTTCATAGCACCTGCTGGGCATTACTGGGAGATGCTGAAATCACTCATCAATTTTCTCCTTTATATGCTATTCAATTAGTTTGTCTGGGGTGAGATCCAGAATGTGTATCAATCAAAAGCATAACAGTGAGCCATGCTCGAGCTATCTTCATGCTAATAGTTTGCATCCACTATCTTACAGAAGGCTTCAATCTAAAAACTTACTCCAGTGTGGGAAGCTTCAAGGAGAAAAATGCACTATTAAGGACTTAGAATTATCCAGTGTAACTGTTTTTCTGTAGCATAATGATAAATTTGAAATCAATTTGGTAATATCCTTAGTGGAAAAATGATATCAATATTAATAGTATTAAGAAAACATTCATCACCAGAGTCTATTTTGTATAATCTTAGCTAAAATTTTTTCTTCAGTATACACTGAAAGCTTACTTGCAAATGAGCTTTTAGTCTGTGGAATTTTTGAAGCACAAATTTAATTCCTAATTTTATGCTTCGGTCTTCAGTCAATTGGAGCTATTTGAATATTATTATATTTAAATTAGAATGCAAATATCCCTTATATACTTTTTCTTAAAACTAGTAATTAGGAAAAACAGTACAATGAATCAGACATTATGACTCTATATGCACATATGACTACATGACCAGCATGTTTCTACATCATGTACAACCAGAAGAATGAGCAGTTGTAATTTATTTATGTAAGATGTGTCAAAATGCATTCTACTATTATGTATAACTAATTAGAACAAATAAAAAAATTAAAAAGGAAAGAAAATTAGTAACTATACCATCAAACAATATGGGCCTTTAATTTAATCCAAAAGGTGAGCATGGAAAGTTAGTGAAGTAACTGTCAGAATAACATTTAACCAAAGGTTTTTGATGCTACTATGGCATCTATGGAGCTCTGTAGAAATGAGAAATAAAAGTTACTGTAAAATTTGATCATTTTATAAAGTAGCTATTGACAGAATGAATTATATTGTTTTTCCATATTCTATACAAATTGACAGAGATAATATCAAAGAAAAATAAATATATCGAGAGATTTAGAATTTTAGAATATATGAAACCTGTGCCAAAAATATTAGAATCCCATAGCATTAGGCAATATACTAATACTATGTTGAGAGTCTTTTTAAAACATTAGCTGCATAAAACATTGTAGCATTGCATAAAACCTGAAGAGTTTGATGAATTTCATAAGATGCATGTACATTTATATGATTTCTATTTTTAATGTTAAAAGAAATTGATTATAACAGAGTCATTAAGTCTATATAGAAGCAATGCTAAGCCTATTTAGTTGTTATTTTAAATTTCTATTAATTTTTCACTAACCTATATGGATTTTTATTTTGCTTTTATTCATCCCATATTTAGATTCTAACTAGTGATAAAATGGTAAAGTTTACATGATACATTTAAAAATAAATCCAGACAATTTAAGATTAATTTTTCCTTAAAGAATTAATTAACTATGATCCATTGATTCATTCTATGGGTACTTGTATGGGAAAGAAAATATACAAATAAAAGTTTTTTTTTTAATTACCAGCAAAAAAGATTCATAAATCTTTCTTTGATAGCTCCTTTTTTCTTGTATTGAGACAGAACACTTTAAAATGAAGGTTAATAAGCAATTATTGGCCCAGACTTAACTAAATACTGTAAATGTGATAGCAGAATATCTTGGTAAATATAAGAATTTTGAGAGCCATAAAATTGAAGACTTTGATATGTGCAAGATCAATAGACATGACTTATCACTATTTAATATAATCTTTAATTTTTAAATACTATGTTCCAATAAAAAGTGTATGGCACAGGAAAACTGAAATTTCAATAAAGAACCAAGACAAAAGAAACAAACTTTGTATTAAAGTATCTTTAAGAGGTTATACTTACGCAGCAACCTCCTCTTTTGACAATCCTTTGAAATTCACCTCTACATAATGATCTATGTCTTCTTTTTCTTTGATCAATTGAGCACTGAGTGAAATGGAAAGAAATAATAAAGCACTGCCTTATGAATTTGGAAAGCTACCAAACACATAAAATGCCACCAGCAGAACAGAAATATTCAGCTACAATAGCATTGATAATAAATATTATGCAATAGCTATGGAGTTAGGTTGTTAATGGACCCTTTAGAAATTTTAATTTTCCTGAATGGAACAGGGATGAATATTAAGCTCAATGTTTTATAAATAAATAAAACACCAACATGTGTCAATAATACATATTCTTAAGTAAGTGGAGTTTTCTCCTTGATGTAAGGTTTTCTATACCTTGTTCACACTGTTCTGCAGAATAACTTCCCAATGCAAAAGTCACATTGTGTTTGGAAAAATACTTATTTGACAATGTAAAATATTTATTTGTCCCAAACATTATTAAATTTTGCCTTGAAATGCTGTTTAAATGTTTTTTCAAATCTATTTTGTAGTTTTAAATGGACACAATTCCCTTATTTTATTTTATTTTTTAATGCGGTTCCAAGGACCAAACCCAGTGCCTCACACATGCTAGGCAAGTGCTCTACCACTGAGCCACACCCCAGCCCCAATGATTTTTTAATTATACTTAAAATTCAAGTTATTATTAGGGGTTCAAGATGCAAATGATTTTAAGAAGATTTTACTGAGAAATATATTCACAGTGTATTCTTTCTTCACATTCTCTTGCACCTTTTAAAATAAATGTGCTATTAACCTCTTATAACTCTGAAGATATGAAACGAAACATTTCTAAATATTTGCGTTTTATTCAGAAGCTATTAAAGAATGCTTATGAAAACTGTGCCCTAACTGAATGATAAAATTTCTTTCTTTAATAAAAAGACCTCAAGAAGAAGTTTTCTTTTCAATCTGTCTGAGGGATGTGAGATTGGGTTATGTTTTTGCTCAGCTCAAAAAGAAAATGTAATTTCAGTCATTAAAAAAGACAGTAAGAACAAGCTTTTTCATATTTTGTAAATATTTCACAGTATTCAAAAGTAAAACAAAATACTCATTCATATATATACATAACCATATGCATCAGTTGAAAGATTTCTCAGTTATAGAAAAAGAAAATTTTGATTTGCTACTTTAAAATAACTTTTATTTTTGTTTAGCTGTGTATTTATTCTGATCCAGGGGCTTTGGTCTTTCCCCAAAATACTAAAAATGAGATATGAGAACAAAGAAGTCTCATAATACTTTGATCATTATGCCTTGCAGGAATTGAGAAGTATGCAGTAAGGAAAATAGTCAAACTTACATATGCAAATTATTTATATTGATAAATAATATGTGTATTACTAAAAGTCAACAAAATTACAAATGGCAATTTCAAAGTAGCACATTCTCACTTAATATTCATAAATATGATAAATGCATCAAGTTCTCTGTTCTGCATTTTCTCAGTGACAACTCTAATAGCTCAGCAGCCGTTCAAAGCGGCAGTTTGACGATGCACTTTGAGGGCCCAGCGTCATTTTGGGACCTAAGGCAAGCCTGTCAGCCTATCCTAGTAGGAAGGCTGCGCCCTCATTTCTCCAAACCAGAAGTCAGCATTTGAGACCTCACAGATAAAAAGCCATATGCTTTTATTTCTTAAAGCTTCTCCTTTCTTTTCTCTGCACACGATAAAAAAAGGGAAACATCTCAAAACTCTATAGGAACCTTGACATAACTGCAATGAGGAGTGAGATGATTAAATGAGTACTAGTTTGGTAAATAAATACCTCTTTAGTATTTGAATGAGCTTCATCAATCCTTTGAAACAACAAATTTGAGAATCTGAGTATGACAATATATGCATTTCTCTTTTCCTTAACCAATCTTATTTTCTTAGAGACACTATTGTCATCTCTTATTGCAGAATTTTATTCAGTAAGAAATGAAAACAAGGGACACTTACCTTGGAATTAGTCTTGAGGAGCATGGTAGCTTCTGTCTCGCTAAGTCTATAAGCTTTGGACGTGTCATGAGTATTGGGGGCAGAGTGGTCATTTTGGACTATAAAAAAAGCAAACAAAATGATATTTTTAAAGAACAAATCTTCAGAGTATCCTTTCCAACATTATTAACAATCTCCAGTCTGTCAAGAATGCCTCTGTAGGTAGAGCTATTGTTCTGTTACTTGGGAATCATACTCAGTGAGTAGATTCTGCAGGTTC